GATTGTTTCCCACTGCATGGGAGAGAGCCTTCGATGTTTGCGGAGTTATCATTATTTGCAAGTGTGTAGGATATGCGTTCTATGTGGATTCTGATATTGAAATTTGTTAATGGAGGGATGGGATGATGGATGTTTATATGAAATTTATTTATATGGTGTGTGCATTTATGAATGTTTATTGTATATTTCTGCATATATTGTGAAGTCGGTACTGCTCAGTACTGATTTAGGTGTATAATTGATGAAATTTCCACAGTACACTGCAGTACGCGGGGTTATACATTGCGTGAATATCTGAATAATAAAGTCTCTGACATTGATATTGAGTGATGCAAGTTTGAATCATTAAGAGAACGTATGTTTCTTCATGGCTACAATAACGCTTTGCTGGTGATGACTGCGAAAGTGCGCGGGATAGGATTTTAGGTGTTTTTGCTGATTATCTATTTAAATTCAAAATTATAACATTCATTGTCTATACTTATTTTGATGGATTATTATTAACCTGATGGCATTTACAAATGGATTCATTTTACAATTATATTTGATATATAAATACCCTAGTTAGCCTATCAATCTACTTACAATTCTGTACTCATATCCTACTGAAAAATGAAATCTTGTCACACTAGACTACTGTTGCGATAACTAATTCGATTCTAAAACTGTAGAAGTTGAAGAGAGTTTGATAATTGGGTGATGATTGAAACTGAAGTGTGAAAACCAAGATTCGAACCAGCGGCCCTAAATCCTTTTGCGACCCAGGTTTTCATTTTGCCTTCAGTCATTAATAATGATTTATAATACAAGTTTACCAAAACACGACTATCTGAGAAAACCAAACTGAAGTGGATTTATTGTAATGAATTTTTTTTTCAGATTGATTTTGAACTTACAATATCAGGAATCTTAAAATACTTGAAGTTTGACAGATTTATTAAATTAGCCACATATCCCAGTCGCACAGCGGAGTAATAAACGAGAAGATGAAAACTGAAAAAAAATGGTTTCTCTTCAATCTGAACTAATGTAACCTGAGTCATGAATGATTTTGTTCATAAGTGTTTTTCCAGCAATATCTTCCTTCTTTTTTTCAGTACTTTATCACCTGCTATCCCAGTATTCTTTTTGATAACTTATTCTCTAATAGTTCTCTTCTCATGTCCATTCATGTTACTTGGATTAAGAACGGATCACACTACATTGTATCCTAATCGTTCATCACGAATACCTAGTAAAGGGCATTAGACGCCAGCATCTAGTGACTTACATACATACGTATATCTATTATTGTATGTGTGCATACCATATACGCAAACATGTCAAGCTACTATTGTTTGCTGTGAAAATCACACAATTTAAGACAGTATAGTTAGGAGGTCGAGGAAAGTATGATAGAAGTAATAATAATAATAGTAATAATAATACACAGCATCCAGCATCCTGTGGTGTCATCTGTAGTTGACCGAACCTCAAAACATGAAAAGTGAACATTTTAAAATGGCTGCTAAATCTTAATATGTAAACTGTTTATTTAAATGTATAAATGCATAAAGAAAAAGAGAGGGAGATGTGTGTATAAGCTATGAATAAATTTTTTGTCATCTTCATTACCACAATTACCATTGTTATCAATAAGGTGGACAGGTTGGTATTCATCATCAGTCAGAGAACCATTGGAAACCTGGGAGCACTGGACAGCTGTTTCACCCTAGGATGGGATTCTTCAGTAGTGGGAATCCATGACCCCACCAGGGACCGAACCCAGGACTTTCAGGTTCCGTGGCCAGCATGTTACCATTGAGCCACTCAGTCGGAATCCAGTGGTGCACATTTCTTACTTCTGTCAGTTCATGATATGGCGCCACTTCCATCTAATGCCGTTACTGAGTAAATATCCTCATCTTTTGACTTAATCGACTCCACTGGTCACGACTTCTCATTGGAACTTCAGGAATCACCTCTTGAAGCTGGCCACAAATGAGCACTTGGTTAATTCGATTTGGGGTTTGTGAGAATTTATTGATTTCAAGTTGGGATTCGTCATGCACTGACATGAATCATGAGTGCGCATTTTTGAGGAATCCCACATTAAGACAAAAGGGCTGTCCAGTGCTCCCAGGTTTCCAACGGTTCTCCTTCTGATGTCAGTCCATGACGAATACCAACCTGAAGTCAATAAATCCCCACAAAATCCTCAAATTAAGGTGAATAAACTAGTATATACGAATACACCGTTTTGATTAGTCAGAAGTAAGATGGAAAATGTACTGAAGATAATCTCTGAATAAATTACAACAGCTTTATTGAAGATGGAAACATTTTCAAGGGAAAATTACTGACCATATTTTTGCCTTTCAATTCTTCTATGTGTTGTAAGTGAAAGTTTCGTAAATATCTGTCTAACAAATCTGGAGTAGTTTTTGTTGGGTGGGTAGCCTGTATAACTGTCTGGAACTATTATCAATATAGTTTGCAGTTTATTGTTCAGCTTTTTAGTGGTGATAGGCCCTACTGAAGAAACAGACAATTGGAATGGTAGTGGTTGCATATGGTACTCCTTGCACTAACACAGCCATTTGCAAATGTCTTCTTTTCCTCTCCGTTCCTGTCTTGATTTGCTCTTGACCGGCTCTTCATACACTCTTATCAGAAGCATCCCCTGTAATACGCTTGTGTTGTCCCCTGCGTTGCTCTTGGCAGAAACCTTACCCATTGCCGGTAATTCCCTATGATTCCTGCCACCCTCTCGATATATACTACTTATGTCCGTTGTTATCAGTAACGCCCACTACACTACTATTGTTATTATCGTCACCATTCTATCTGGTTATCCGAGATAATGATTAAAATTGAAAGTGTGCGTCTTTATCAAACTCAAACCAAGGGCTTTTCGTAATTCTTTTAATCAACATTCCTATTTATTATCTTAATTTGTTGAAGGATCTTCTGGAATTTGTACACATCACAAAAATATATTGTCTCTTCCTCCATTCCATCATAATACGACTGAATACTATGAAGGATATTATTAGGCCGTGGTAGCAATCGATTTCTAATTGATAGGATGGGTCAAAAATACTCCATCAATTCAAATAATCTTGGAATTCATGTAGACCACTAACAATAATTGTGGCTCATAATTTGGTTCCTAAACCATTTAATTTACACACTTGTATGTTGGTTTCTATGACTTGGTTTAACCATGCAGCTTTCTTTTCTACACCAAAAACAGTAGAGATTTCGAAAAAAATAGTTATATAGTCTAATTTTTTTCGGAGATACCTTAGTAGGCTTGTCTTGTTTGTTTTCTCCAGTCGCAAATATCATTCGATTGGTTGTTTCTGTTGTCTTGATTTACACCCCATATTCAGGTCTAGTCAGTATGCCTATTGATGTCTTATCGTAGTGCAAACCTCTTATCTTAACTCTGTATCATTCCTGAAGTCTTCTCTATCCAAAACCCATATTATTTTCAGCATAAATAGAGTCCATTGTTATCTAAATGACTTGTTATTCACCTACATTAGTCTTTTTTTTTGATAATAAAGTATTTTCTAGTCACTTCGTTATAGATTGTGGCATAATAGCTAATTTTATGCTCTTCTTGTCAATAAATGTGGATGTTTACTGTCCATAGGTTACACTGTTTTATTATGGCTCATTTCATTGGACACGCGACTTTCAGCCATTGGGGTTAATGAGTTTGAACTAAATTGTGTCTACTACAGGTATCAGTAACTAGGAAGTATCACTAACCTTCATACAACTGAGATAGCTCATTTAATTACAATATTTCGTTACTATGCTACTTTCAGTTTAAACTGAGTGACTACATATCATAGGGCATAAAATTTACTATATAGTGATCTGTTGCAAAATCGATGTGATCCTGAAAGGGGTTTTTCTGAACAACTTAAATTCATAACTTTAAAATTTTCACATTCATAATAACGACGGGCGTAATAAAGTTAATAGATTTAGCTTAGGACTCCTTGTTGATGATTGTTTGCTGGAATAGGTAACGGAAAATTACTTTAGATGTATGTCTTAGCTCTTCACTGCTAATTCTGGGGGTACATCTTTTGTTTTCATTCTATTCTATTATTTTGCTGCTGTAATCTACTTATCAGGCATCAAAAACTAACTTCGCAGATTTGGGTTAATTGATATATCCCAGAAGTCCTAAAGATCACATGATTTTTCTGCATTGGGCTATAAGCCATACCTACTGTATACAGGCTTGATGGAGTTGTCGTTCCTTCACTCGTCTGTCAAACAATGGATCGCAGATCTAAATCCCGCTCTATCCACTTAAACCTAGTCAATAGTATAGTTTTTATATTGGCGGCGGCGGTGGTGATTTAACCTTTTATTATTATTTTCCTCTTTGCTTTTATTCTGCCCTTGTTATATTTCTTAATTATAACTTCATTGGCTTAATTAACGTTTCTAAGTTTTATATAAATTATTTGACAAGTTCATATGTGATCAGATCGTTCGAAATGTATAGCGTTAATACATCACATGTTTCAGATAATCTCACTAAGTTGTTCAAATTTATCAAGGGGACTAATCGTTTCAGTTGCATAGTATTATAAGCCCGCACATGCTATGACTCATAACCTAGTACATACACCTATGGCAGATAAATGTGCTACATTATTTACTCACTGCATATTGACCAATGGTACTACGACACATCAATCTCAGTAGTGAAATGGACCTTCTACCCATGTCTAAGTCAATATAACAGCTTCATCGAGGCTGTATTTGTTCACTTTTCTTAAAGAATAAACCTTTACAGGAGATCGGGAAGCGTTGAAATTGTTTGTTTCACTATCAGTTTGCCCGTAGATGTCAGTGATTGTTTCCATATCGACTGCCAAAGCAATTATAATATCCATTAAGTCATGGGGTAGATTTCAAGAAGTGTTGAGTTTCAAAATACCAGGAAAATGGTGTTAATATGTTTTCAAACTTCCATTTTTGTTTATCAGATTCTTGAAAAACTCAGGATTTACTCAAATCCCTCTTGGAAGTAATGGTTCTAACTATCATACAGTTAATCAGGATGGTGAATCTCAGTCCAAAAGTCTATCTCACGACACGGAGGATAATATAAGACGGAAGTATAGCAATGGTAATACTATTTCTGTATCTGAAGACTGTTTGGATTACTCTAAACCATCGACTATCTCACCAAAATCATCGCCGCCAACATTATCATGTAAAACAAGGAATTCTACAGGAGCAGTCAATCGTCCCGTTGCAATGGCTAATAATAAACGGAATCAGGATAAATCTCCAGTGAAAAGTAATTGTTCTGGTATTAGTTCTAGATCAACTTCAGTATCGTCAACGACACAATCAAATTTATCTTTAAAGTCTACAGTTTTGCAGTCGAATACCACATGTTCACATGTGATGGATTCATATAATCGTATTCCAGCTCCTAATGTTAATGCAGTTAATCTATCACAGGTAATTATTATATATGTTTGTGTGGAACTATAAACTTTACATGATGTTTCATCGTTAACTGAAATTGAAGGACATGTTTTAGAGATTTATAACCTGAGATGAGTGATAATTAAAAGTCTATTCAAAATATGATTGAGGAGTTCAGTTGTTGTTTCTCTTTGAAAATTGAAATGTTCGGGCTATATAGTTTGATGCATTTGATAGACATATCGCTTAACAAGTGTACTAAGAAAATAATCGTCCACTGTTTAGACTACCTTAGTTTTTTTAGCTAACTCAGTGATTAACATGAATTGGCTTCGATTATCCAAGTTGATACACAAACGTCGACTTATGGTGTGAGCAGCTGGCAGGTATTCATCTCTAAAACACTTCAGGCAGTAGCACACGAGTCTTCTGGGATAACTATCAGCCCTCTTCATCTAGACTCCTTTATCTAACTTCATGGTTCTGAGAAAAATACACATCAAGGTTAGCATCTGCCGTATTTGCAGCTCTTGCAAACTATTTTTGTCTCGTGATGCTGTTCCATTAACTGTTTATTAGATCTTAAATTGTTCACATTCTGTTTCAAACTAGACGGCAGACCCTACTCGCTGAAATCTTTGTGTCCCAAAAACGTGAATAAATGTGTTTATGGGACAATCGTCCCGTAACCTACTACTGTCATTCACTTAATCTCTCGTAACTACCGTGGTGTATCTATCTGTACCATTTACCCTATTGAAGTGTATATGTTTTGATTGGCTAGCTCTAATCTATGTATCTTTCCCTCTTTTAAACTTCATGATGTAAAATGACTCAGAAACTATGCTGATGTATCATTGTTAAGAAAACTGAAATCTAAGAACTCACTTAAAAAAGTCCATTATTATTTTCCAAAATACACTCACTAACCTCAATATCTTTCCCTCCGCTCAAGTAAAGGTCAATGTAGTCAAAAAAGCTATCAATGGGCTATTGAAGTCCCTTTAAGTTCGTAAATTACTAGTTTTATTGTTTGCTGGACGATACTTTATTAGATGGCATAACTTTTGCGCTATTTGCATTTTTGTTTTTAAAAAAAGGACTTACCAATGAATTTGAGTGCTAAACCTCAAGAACCAATTGCTTTAATCAGATATGTTATTGAGCCAACAGTTTATGCCAAAATAAATGGAATTCAATCGAGCTGCCTTAATCACTCAGATAATCTGTGTGATAAACAACTGTCAAGCAATTGTCTGTCATCAGCAGAAGTGATTGTTCAGACGGCTGTTGAAGCTGCTCGTAGTTTGGCTTCAGACAGACCCAATTTAAGGCAAACTGATAAATTCAGTCACTCTACTTCAGATTCAAGTGAGTGTATTTCTTTTTTCAAAGTCTTGCAGATTACGTTAGTTAAACTAGTTTCTTCATGGTTATCACATGAAAATTTTCTCCTCCTTGTTACTGCAGAATGATCAATTATAGAGATTAGGCTAAACTATCTTTTACTTCCGTCGCAGTTAGTATAACTAGTAATTCCTGGCCACTTTTCTTAGAGGCTGTTGAGAGTCTGTTCAACATATGTTGTGATGCAACCCAAAAAGCCAGGTAAAGGTTTGTGTACTAGGCAGCGAGTTACATCTATCGTGTTAGGACTGTGATCCTACCTCCTCACCCAAACATCGATAAATGAAGTAAGGTTTAGCTTGTGCCGTGGTGATTAAAAAGTGAATATCTAACTTAATTAGCCGTAGATTATGTGTTGTAGACATCCCCATGATGCAAATTTTTTAGGGTATAAAGAAGACTAAAATTGTTTATGAAGCCTTTTAAATACACAGAAAGTGCTTGTGAAGCATTCAAGAAACTTTCACAATAAACCAAGTCTGCACACTAGTAGGTAATATTATTTATCCTAGCGGCTTTGTATAGTTTCTCGACCTTAAGGATTCAATCTGTAGTAGTGTAAATAAGGGCAGCAAATAAAGTATATCATTAAACGAAATGAGTGATTTTGAACTGTTCACGTTTAGTAGTAGTGGTATGTATTCTGTTAGTTTATGAGATTTTTTGTGTCAAGTTTTGATCGTGTCTAGATAGATGGCTTTCAAATTGAATTAACTCCATATGATCTGCTAGTTTTTGTTCAAAATATGACTTTGACAGTTTATATTCGTGGAAAATTTCCATATGATAACATCAAGAAAACAACTGACCAGTGAATACGTCTCATCATATTGAAATTTAAAATAATCATTTATGAGCATTCAGTGTATGCTATTATATATTTGAATTTCACATTGAGTAATCTGAGCCTTATCAAACTAACAGAAATGTATATTTGCTCAAGTCAGTTGTTTTTTCAGTCTATATTCGCTTTAATTGTACAAAAATGCTGTGGTTTGCAATTGGTAAAGTTTTCCAGTGTGATATACTCTCAGTACTCTTTAATTGTAGATGAACATGTTTTTATTATTATTATTATTATTATTATTATTATTATTATTATTATTGTCAGAATATATTGAGGGATCATCCACTCCAGGATGTTTATGTGACCACATGAAACAGAATGATGTTCTCACAACGAATCTCAATACCTGCGATTGTGAAGAACAACATTTCTCCAGAGTACCACCCACTTCAACACTAAGTCATCATGAAAGCGAACAGAATGAGAAATCATGTCTACTTCCACGTTCTTCTAGTGGTGTTGGTATCAGTTGTACAGAAGATTCTTCACTGAATAAATTAAATAATGATGTGAAACAGAATAATGGAAAATCATCTGTTACTCCAACTGTAGTTTCGAATAGAACAGAATCAGATACACGACAAAGTCATGGAACTAAATCTCATACCTACTTGAAAGATCCTCGTCCATACAAATGTAAAATGTGCCATGTAGGGTTTCGTGTCAGCGGACATTTATATAAACATTATCGTTCCAAATCACATATGTCAAATATTCTACAAATGACTCATTTGTCAAACACTATAATTGAACGTGTCTTACAAAATCATATGGGTAATCCACAACTTGTTAATCCAGATACTGGTGAATTGAGTATGCGAATATTGGAGAAAATTATTCCAGCCTGTGAATCCCCTACAGTGACACCGGTTACCTCAGGATCGAATGGGCGTAACTGATATGATGCCTAATTTTTTCAACGTGCTAATTGTGATCACAACCAACACTCTTTTTGTACATACGATTGAAATTTTTAAAATAAACCCCGATACCTATTTTTCGTCTATATCTTTTCAAAAATCACCTGATTAAACTTGATAATTGTATTTTGCGATGATCGAAATAAAATAGTACAGTGGGAGTAAAAATAATAAAATGGTACTAGAAAGGCGAAACATTAGGTAAACAGGTATAGGTGCTTGACATCCCCGGAAGATTAAGAACGAGTAACCCTGTATGAACGTCTCACCTATTTTCAGTCATTTCACTGTGAATTTCCCAAACAATGACTTGAAGTACCGTAGGTTGTTCCGTAAATCTTCAATATTACTCAGACAGAGTTTGTTTGCATGTACATGGTGTTGCAGAGTCAATGTTGGTAGAAATCTTGTATTCTTTGTTCATAAAAAAATTTCTTACAGTTGTATATCACTAAAAAGCACACTGCTGAGCTGCATACCTATCACTTGAATGGCATTTAGGTGTCCTTTTGTCAATGACATGTAGTGTACGTGTCTGTTGAGATTCATATGTAAAATAGAAGTTTACTTAGGATGTATCGAATTATTTGGAGCTCTTAACTTGTTGGCCTTAAATGCAGAATCTCGGTAGTATTGCGAACGTTTGGATAATATGGGTGATGATCTGGTACATGAACCTGTATGTGTAAGCGTGTTCAAGGTTTGCTTTGTTGTTGTCATTTTATTTTCTTTCTTCTGTAGATGTGTTATCATGATGTTTTCTTTTCTCTCTCATCCTCACCTCGGCTGAAGGCTACTTTATGGAGTTCGATAACCAGTTCACTGTACTTTTTTCATCTTTATGGGATCAGTGATTATAATTTCTTTTAAAACCTTCTTTAACACCTTTCTGCATAGGAGTAATGTTTTTAGTCTCTTTCTTTTGTTCGTATTTAATTGTTCATTGGACTGTTTACTTTAATAGTTTTGAAATTATAGTTAACACAAATTCCATAATTTCCTGCTTTTAGTTTACAGAACTGGAAAATTTAGTCTATCTTGGCACATAAGTATGTAGTCTGTTTGATAACGCTCTGGTATTTAAAGTAATGGTTGGTGGGTTCGGTTTCGATCACTAACTTTGTGGGGGTTGAGTCACAGTCTGTCGGTGAGTCCCCTAGTCGAACAAATCTCATGAATTGGATTCCACCAACAAATAAAGCAGAAGTTTAGTTAGGTTTTCGTTGAATTTTCTTGTTGTTGGCAATGATAATGTTGTAGGATCCGAAGCCACGAATAATACCGTTGGTCGACTGTTCAAACATTGTGTAGATAGTTGAGTTTTTCTCTCCGGCGACCAAAGTACATGTTGTCAACAACAATGATTAAGAAAATTCCACTGTTAAACCTATATCATCCTAAAGTAACGATAACTCGGTTTCTATTTAAGCGTTAAAGTAAGCTGACTTTGACGAGACAATATGTAATAATAATAGTAATAATAATAATTCACTTTATTCCAAACAATTTTTGGTACAATTTGGAATTCTCAGCATGATATATTGCAACAACAACAAAATATATGTATATACACACTCCTTTACAACACTGAGAATCGTGTTGTTGTACAGATTTAAGTAATGTAAAGAATATTAAGTACGAGAAAATTTTACGTTGTTAGTTAAACTATTGAAATGAGATTTTTAACTTAAAAGTTGATGTGTGGTTTCTGTTCTAACACCTTTTTCCTCACAAAATATGCGTGCTAGGTTAGGTACAGTCGGATGCTTGTACTTAGCTGCACGAGCATACAGTCTTATGTAATTTCCTCTTGTCCTCCATAAGGAGATACATGGAGGGAGCTGTGAATGAAGTGAATACTCAGTGGCAGTTAAAATTTCTGCAGCTAGTTGCTTACTGGGATTTAAGTGTCTATCAACCACAGTATTAATCAGTGGAGCCAGAATCATACCACTCACCCTGCTGTGACGCCTATCAAAGCCTTACACAACATTATTATTATAATTTTACCTAGTGGAACATAGGGCTTCACTAGCACACCACTGTACTCTCTTCTCTAAAGTCTTTTGAACCTCACGCCACAACTGCCCACAAGCTTTCATCTCTTCCTCACATGACCTCCTCCATGTCACTCTCACCTCGCACACCAAACTCGTCATTTCCCCTTTGGATTCCACTCAAGGCCTGGCCTGACGCGTGATGTCCCCAATCCACCTTCTCAGTGTATACCCAATACAATCCATCTCCACTTTCCTCTCCTGTATATTTATTTGTTGCGTGATAGGTTCTTGGTCGGTTGGTTGCCAGGTCAGAGTTCTTTGTTGTTTATTCTTTCTGGCAATCCATGTGATCTTCAGTGTCAGTATCGAGCCAGCGTAGGCGGCAGCTGTTGATGTGATGAATGTCTGTATTTTGTTGGAAGTGCTTTTCGTGACACGCCGCCAAGTCTCTCAACCATCACATAGAAACACTGACTTGACTGAATTGGTGTTGAAAATCCGGACCATGTTCACGCTTTGTGCTGAGTTGAGTGGAGTAGATCTCCACACTGATTTGAGATAAGTGAAAGCCTGTCTTGCTGTCTTTCCGATCCTGGCTGCTTTGACATCCTCGTCTGTGCCACCACCGCCTGTAGTTGAAACGATGCTGCCTACTAGGTGGGTGAAAGAGACTACTTCCCCTTTAGGTTTCTCCCATTAATGGTGATTGTTGCTTGTTGTTTGTTGTTGGTGGTGTTGTTGGTTGGGTATCCTCATCACGTCTACCTCCGTCTCTTCTACACTCACCTGAAGAAAGTCGCATCATCGCTGCCCAGCCTCTTCTTCCAACTTGTTAGTTTTCGCCTGTACATCTTCGAGTTTGTGCAACAAGACATTAGACACAAATCATCATCGGTGGCGAAATCCAAATCTTCCACGATCTTTTCATCAATCAAACAGTGTATATCCATCTTCTCGCTCCTCACAGTTGTTTCTTGCATGATCCACCATGGTCCACCACAGTCAGGAAGATGATCGGTGATAGATAGTAGGTGGCAGCCTTGTGTTTTACTCCTGCATGTTTTCACTTCGAAGGCGTCACTGAGCTTTCCATTGTGTTGTCAATCACTTGGCATGTGGCGTCTTCCTTCATATAGCTGCTGTTCAATGAGGTTGATAAATATTTGTGTCACTCAAACTGTAGTGTTGAAGCAACAACTGTCTGGCAAATTACTTCTCGGTCTACGGTGTCGAATGCCTTTTCAAAGTGGATGAAGTTGAGATGAGGTAGAGAGTTGACTGGCATTCTATGCTCTGTTCATGATGATGACGATGATGATGATGTGTTGCGTAGCGTTGCAATTTAATGCGTACATGATTTGTTCTTCCTGAAGCCTGTCAGGCAGCCAGCCTGTTCTGGTCGTAATTTGAATGCAGAGCATTGCTTAGTCTCTCTCTCTCTCTCTCTCTCTCTCTCTCTTCAAGATGATGTGGTATAATATATTGCTTGTGGTGGACAGGGATAGCAGCATGATTCCTCACCAGTTCATTCAAAGACTTAGGTCTCCCTTCTTTGAGAGTTTCTCAGGGTAACCCTTCTTCCAATCAATCAGCAGGTACGTTCACTTGCCTCCTTCCAAACCTTCTGCAATAGTGGTGTGGTGTGGTGTGGTGTGATGTGAGCATATCCGCTATTGTCTCTGCATCTGTTTTCAGTGCTTCTGACGGAATTCCATCTGGTCCTGCTGCTTTCCCGAAATTCAGCAGTTTTATGGCATTCAGGACTTCTCTTCTGCTTTTGTCGTAGGGCCTGTGTTCACTGGTAGTTCTGCCGTTGCCGCTGGTGGTATTTATTTCTGGACGAGTTGCAGGTGGTGGTGGTGGTGGTGTTGTTCGATTGAATAGCTTTTCGAAGTGATCAACTCATTTGTTTCCTTTGTTCCTCTTCTTTGCTAACTAGCTTTCCTTCACTATGCTTTCATTGGTTTCATCTGCGTTGATCTATTCCCTACCAGATAGTAAGCTGGTTATTTGGTGGAAATAATGTTGTCAGGTCTCTCCTACCAAGAGCCTGCAGCGTGTTCTGCCTCACTTGCCAGTGTGTTGTAGAAGTGTGTTTTGTGTTTGCGCGCACTCTTCTTCACTTCTTTGTCCAGTGTAGTGTTTTATAGGTTGTGTTCAATTCATCTTTTCGTTGTTCATCTCTGCACTGCACTGCACTGGTTTATCTTCTGCTTCACCATCACCATCACCATCACCATCTTGCTCTCCCTGCTCTATGAGCTTCCATGTGTTTGTGGAGATCCATTCCTTGTCTTGTTCTGCTTCTTCTTCTTCCTTCCTAACACGGTTATCTAGGTTTCTTTCCAGATAGCTTTCAGGGAGTTCCAGTGTTCATCCACACAGCTTTCTTCAGGGATATTGCTTAGTGTCTCTCATTTTGTCCTGATGATTGATTGATTGATTGATTGAGTGAGTGAGTGAGTGAGTGGGGTGAAGATGTGGTTTGTAGTTTCGTCCTTCAGTTCAGTTTGTGTTCTGGTTGGGTATTGAACTTGAACTTGAACTTGAACAACTTGGACTGTGGTCTATCGTCACCAGCTTGTTTGAAGGCTTTCAACTTGATTTGGAAGGTAGGTAGGTTCCTTGCACTAGATAGTGGTGTGATTGGTCTCAACCTACATCTGCTCGTCTTCGTGATCTTGTCTCCAGTAGGCTGTATCCTCACTTTCTTCACATTGAAATGAAGTCGATCTGAATTTTAGTGTGTCCATTTGGTGAAATCAAATCGATGTTGCTGACTTGTGAATATCCTTGTGTTTGTACACACTTGCCTACCGCCAATCACCAAATCGTTGAATGCGCAGAAGTCTGCAAACAGTTCTCCATTCTCATTCATCGTTTCACCGAGTGACCCTCGCCCCTCGACCCATGATTCGTTGTCTTCGTGTATTGTCTGCTCTCAGTTTGGCATTCATGTCAGTACACTGATTAGAATGGATTTTGATGTTGGCATCTGGTGTGGGGTCTTGTCTATTACTGATTGCAGTTGTCTGTAGAATTCCTCTTTCTTCTCTTGATCTGCATGCATTATTTGTAGGTGTGTAGTATTGCCATTGTATGATAGTAAGTAGTAAC